CAGGACCTACTACTATCCCGGGCATGAACTAAACTACGAGGAGCTAAGTCATTATGTTTCATGGCTTGCGGATCTTGATACTGTCAAGACAAATTTTCTTCCTGCACTTAGAAATGTTAGTACTGAAAACGTGCGACTAATAGTGTTCGTAATGAACTACAGCCACATCTATTTAGGAAAGATGGTAAGATTTTTACTATTTGTCCTCAATGCATCTTTTCCATGCATTATTTTTTAAGCTAAACTTCATTGCTAAGTATGTTACCATACGATGTTCTTCAACAGGGACTCCCGATGAATGTTGTGCCTCATGGGATCGAGACTAAAGGTACCATGAGTATTGTTAGCTTACGACCAAGATATCCTACAATGCACTTTAGTGCATTCAGGATTTCTAAAAGTGAAGAATTCTTAATAATGAAAGACTGGACCAAATTTGTGATGGAGGAGCGCAGAGAAGTACTAGGGGGCAGCAATCAGAAGCGCGGCCCATGACTAGGAGACAGGTTCATCTGCATGCTCCAACTTGATGAAGGAGGAGAGCTACACATGTTTTATGTTATTTTACCTGAGAGAGAGCAGCAGGAGTGATTAGCTAGTTAGAAATGAGTTTGAAGATGATAATGTGCTACACTATGACTATGATGATTAAATAGCTAGTATTGGGGGTAATGACTATGATGATTATTATTAGCTAGTGTTAGTGTTGATTAGATAGCTACCGCATCTAATGTTGGTGGTGATTAGCTAGCTAGAATGAGTTTGAAGATGATTATGTGCTACACTATGACTATGGTGATTAAATAAATACTGTTGGTGGTAATGACTATGATGATGATTAAATAGCTTGTGCTAGCGGATTAGATTCAAGTGGAGGCAACATGTGGTGCACATTGAAAGTACTATTAGTCCAAACTAGATCAAGTTTGGATTAGTAGTATACTTTTGACATGCACCATATATTGCCTCCACTTGAACCTAATCTACCCTCATTTGACACACTGTTATGGACATAATGATATAAACCTCATAATTGGTATTGTACCAAAATTTGTATAACGGCGTATAAATACACTAAAAATAAAAAAATAAAAAAAAAGAATACTAGTAGCGATGGATAGTAAACATGCTGCAACTAGCTAGATTAGCAGCTGCGCGGGAGAGAAGAAGCGTTGCCGCTATGTGTCTTAGCAGTAGCGCGTGTCACAAGCGCTACTGCTAAGTAATAGCTGCAGCTCCTTATTAGTAGCGCAGCAGCACGCGCTACTAGTGGGCTTTAAACCTGCGCTACTACTAGGGTTTTCCCTAGTAGTGCACTGTTGTTGCCAACCTTTGACGGACTCGTTGAATTTACCTGATGGCCATTTAACGTTGGGCATCTTGCTCACCATGGCTCCTCCGCACTCGGCGTGTTCGCCGCCTACCACCTTTGGCTTCACGTTGAAAGTCTTTAGCCACAGTCCAAAGTGTGGCAGGATGCGGAGGAAGGCCTCGCACATGACGATGAATGTCGAGATGTTGAGGAAGGAATTGGGGGATAGGTCATGAAAATCTATCCTGTAGTAGTACATAAGGCCGCGAAAAAATGGGTGGAGGGGAAACCCCATCCCGCGGACGAAGTGAGGGAGGAATACAACCCTCTCGTGGGGTTCGGAGTAGGGACGATCTGTCCCGCTGCTGGGAGATGTGTGATCTTCTTGGCTAGGTATCCGGCCTCCTGGAGTTTCTTGATATCGTTCTCCTTGACAAAGGAGGCCATCCACTTGCCTTGTGCTCCGGATCTAGGCATGGTTGGAGTGCTTTTTGGGCAGAAGAGATGGTGCTTGGGCGCTGGAGCTCGAGAATGAATGAGCAGAGGAAGAAGAGGGCGTGCGTGAAAGAGGGGAATCCTTATCCCTTTATAATGGCAGTAAAAATCATGCGCCTCCGCACTCGCCCTAAAGCTCGCTTATTTCCCAATCGCCGTGCTGATAGCACGGTTGGGTTACCCGTACCCGCATTAATGAGAATCCCGTGATAAGGGAACACGATCTCTGCTTTAACAAGACGTGCCAATGAAACCGCGCCTCGAAATACGAAGGGGCAAGATAAAAACGGTTCGAATAAAGACCGGGCTGTGGCGTGATGTCATGCTATGAGTTGTCAGCAGATTGGACTTGTGAGATATTATACTCTCTACAGTGGTATGTGGATTTTTTTTGCAGAGCCGGACACGATTCTTATGTTCAAGATCTAATTTGGAGTATTCGGAGAAGGAACCCGCCTTGCAATGCCGAAGACAATCCGTGCGCCGGACTCATCGTCATTGAAGCCTGGTTCAGGGGCTACTGAGGGAGTCCTGGATTAAGGGGTCCTCGGACAGCCGGACTATATGCATATGTCAGACTGTTGGACTATGAAGATACAAGATAGAAGACTTTGTCCCGTGTCTGGATAAGACCCTCCTTTGCGTGGAAGGCAAGCTTGGCGGTTAGGATATGAAGATTCCTTTCTTTATAACTGACTCTGTGTAACCCTAACCCCCTCCGGTGTATATATAAACCGGAGGGTTTAGTCCGTAGGACAAGAACAATCATAATCATAGGCTAGCTTCTAGGGTTTAGCCTCTACGATCTCGTGGTAGATCAACTCTTGTAATACTCATATCATCAAGATCAATCAAGCAGGAACTAGGGTATTACCTCCATCGAGAGGGCCCGAACCTGGGTAAACATTGTGTCCCCCGCCTACTGTTACCATTAGCCTTAGACGCATAGTTCGGGACCCCCTACCCGTGGTCCGCTGGTTTTGACACTGACACCCTAGTGGGCTTCGATTTCTTCGTGATTGGATTGGGCGACCTACGAGGGTACACCCTTTTTGTTCGGACGAGGGGTTTAGTGAGAGCCAGTGGATCCCAAAAGGTTGCCTGAGTTTTCCAGGTGCTTTCCATCACGCAGTACTTCCATACTATGATCGCCAAGTCACCGAAGCGTGATACGTGACGGCGATTTATGGCATTAAGGAGTCCCTTGTCCGTGCAACTTTTGCAGAATAATGAGATTGCATCTTCATCGCAACAGTCTTTGACCTTGTCCTTGACAAGGAGGAATCTGGCCCAAAAGTGATGTACCGTCTCTTGGGACTGTTGTCTGATGCGGGAAAGATCGCTTGCGTCTGGGTGGGTGGGTGGATTTAAGTCCGAACCCTGATCCGATCTGTGACCCAGAGCTTGAGGGGTTTCCGAACTTCATAGTTCGGGTTCCAGGATGTTAACCAATTTTTCTGGCCCACAGTCCGATTCTAAGTTCGGAGTTCGGGGCATGTCTTTCCACGGGCAGGTATCCGGCTCGGCGAGCTTAGAAATCCGGACATATTTCGTCCTCAATATAGGGGAAGAGTTGTTGCATTGCTCCTCCACCACCGCTATCTGATGGGTGATCGGCAGAGATTCAATCTCTCTCTGATCGGTTTTAAGCCCAATCCGATCGTAGTCTGAGGCGACTCCCAAAGTGCGATGCGATCCAGGAGCCCGTTTAGAGAGGATAACTCCGTTGGATCCATCTGCTCGACATATTCCGAGCTGGCGTGAAGACGACTTTCGATGACCCGAGAAGTCATTGTTGGCCCGACGGCCGAGCGGGCAGTCAAGACGAAGCCGCCCAGCGGGAGGGTTTGGCCTGAGGCCAGAGCTCCCCCGGAGGTGATGTTGTCCTTGATAACAAGGCGAGCCATCAGCCCTATCTTCGACGTCACAGTGGAACTCGCAATGAGAGCACTAATGTCGGTGTCAAACCCGGCGGTTCTCGGGTAGGGGGTCCCGAACTGTGTGTATAAGGCTAATGGTAACTGGAGGCGGGGGACTCAATGTTTACCTAGGTTCGGGCCCTCCCGATGGAGGTAATACTCTACTTCCTGCTTGATTAATCTTGATGATATGAGTATTACAAAAGTTGATCTACCACGAGATCGTAGAGGCTAAACCCTAGAAGCTAGCCTATGATTATGATTGTTGTTGTCCTACGTACTAAACCCTCCGGTTTATATAGACACCGGAGGGGGCTAGGGTTACACAGAGTCGATTACAGAGAAAGGAATCTTCATATCTTAACCGTCAAGCTTGCCTTCCACGCAAAGGAGAGTCCCATCCGGACACGGGACGAAGTCTTCTATCTTGTATCTTCATAGTCCAACAGTCCGGCATATGCATATAGTCCGACTGTCCGAGGACCCCTCAATCCAGGACTCCCTCAGCTGCCACCGACCGGCGGGCCAGAGGAGAGGAGTAGGCGCGCGCGCACGTCCGTCTCGTGTCCGCGCCGACGCAAATCCGGCTCAAAAATGGATCGGGAATGGGTCGCCATGCGGATGCCAAGCGGACACGCGTCCGTTTGGGTCGGCGTGTTGGGCCGCCTTTTCTGTCCGCGCCGACCCAAATGGACCTCGGCGGACGAAATGGGTCGCCCCGTTGGAGTTGCTCTTAGGGGCTTTGCGGGCGTCTGAACCGCTTCCAAGCCCGCATCTGACCACCATGTCCCATCAAAAATCCCTCCCTCGCCAGCTCGCGCTTCTCGCTTGAAACAGTGAGCCCTGCTCTAGAGCATCAATGCCGCATTCATGTCCGGTGAGAGCAAACACGGCCTCTTTGTGGCGCTGGCAGAAAGAGCGCCACCCACACCGGTTCAAACGACAACAATCTTGACGATGAACAAACCTTCCACCAACAACAACAATCTTGACGATGAACTTAAAAAGTGAGAACAGAGTGTATCTCAGTTGGCAAGGCGCGGGAGTTCGCAGCCAGCCCACCAGGGTTCGAGTCTCGGCTTGATCGTTTGGTGCTCATGAAATTTTCTTCTATAAAAAAATGCCAACAGGCTAGTCTAGCCGGGGTTGGTCTCGTTTTTTCCCGATGAACTTGACAAGTGGCTCAGCAGTTCTCCGGAGCACTTCTCCCATGTATACAAAAGATCAACAAAAACGGTTCCAGTTCAAAGCATCAAGCTAATAATCATAATGAGCTAATCAGGCGGCAGGACCAGCTTGGCGGCGTCGAGGCGCGGGTAGTGCCGGAGCACGACGCCCTTCATCTCCTCCGCGCCGCTCTCGTACCCTGCCGCGGCGTGCTCGTCGAGCCGCCGCTTGTACTTCTCGGACCCCAGGAACTGCTGCACCGCCGTCGCCTTGGCGCTCTCCATAGTTGCGCGCTTCACCGCCGCGAGCTCGGCCTTCGCCTTCTCCAGCTCCGCCTCGGCGGCCTGCCTCGCCATCTTCTCCTTGTCCAGCTGCTCCAACAGCGTCACCTTGTCGCGCTCCAGCGCCACCAGCTTCTCGTCCAGGTCCAGCGCGTAGCCGGAGGAGAAGGACACGTAGTTCGCGGCCTGCGCACGCCACCGTCGCCGCCGCACGGCACACACAAACAATGTGATGCGGGTCCGGTCTGAAGATAGCTACGGACGAACGATTTGGTTGGAAGAATACCTGGAGCATTGCTACGTAGGTCGACGCGACGACGTCGGAGGGCTTCGACGCCGCGAACTTGTCCTCCCGCGACGGCGTGACGACGCACTCTAGCACCTTCTGCGAGACCTTCCAGTCGGCGCTGTCGCCGTCGTGTGCGTCGGGCACAGGCGAGTGCTGTGGCTTCGGGCCGAAAAAACCCCGGCGGGCACACGGGTCGGACACCGCGGGCGAGCGGCCAGACAACGGCCGTGCAGACAATCCCGGTGGGGAAGCAGGCGGCGGCGTGGTCAGCGGAGAACGGCAAACTTCGTCTTCTACATAAGCTGTCTCCCCCCGTTTCCTCTTCTTTCCAGACAACGGCAGCGCGTCGCCGTCCGGCTCGGTGTTCACCTTCGCGGTTTCTGCCGCACTCTCTTCCAATGGATCGATTCCTGGCGCACGAACCACAACAGTAAGGAGTATGTGCTAATTGGATAAGGGGAATTGTGTTGGGAGCGCGTTTACCTTTGGCACCAGTAGTACGAGGAGAAGGTGGAGGTGGTGGTGGTGATGCGCCGGCGAGGTTGGAGGAGAAGGCCACCGCAAGATCGGCCTCACAGAGGTAAGTCCGGAGATCAACTGCCGCGCCGTGTTTGTACACCAAATCTGCCACCGATTTCTTATCCTGGCTCGATAGCTCCGGACCTGCTGCGGAGATCTTAGCCGTCGGCGCGCCCCAGCGAACGGGGCACCGCCATTCCTCCGGCGACGTCAGGAAGAAAAAACCCCTTTTCCACTCCCCGTCGGATTCGGAACTGCCCAGGCCAGTAACCAGCGCGCCGGCACCTTCCTTGCACCGGAAGCAGTACCAGCCCTTCCTGCTTCGGAGCGAGAAGAAATGACGGAACACGGCGACCGACGGCGGCACGGAGGCGTCGTGGCAGAGGGCCAAGAAGCCGACCAGGACGCGCCACCCGTCGGGCGTGAGCTGGCCGGGCGCGAGGTCGAAGTGGGAGAGCGTCTTGCAGAAGAAGTCGTGGAGCGGGAAGCGCACCCCGGCCTCCAGCGCGTGCGCGTACACGCAGACGCCCCCCTCCGGCGGCGGCGAGCACGCGCGCCGGTCGCCGGCGGGGCTCGCGGCGAGCTCCCCCGGGACGCCGTGCTTCTCGCAGAGGGCCTCGACTTCGGCCTGGGTGGTCAGGGACGAGGTGAAGCGCTCCGCGGCGGTCACCAAGAGGGCGGCCGCGTCGTCGTCGTCGTCGCTGTCGCTGAGGATGATGACGGCGGACAGGGGAGGGGAAGGCATGGCGCTGCGCTCTCGACAGAAGCAGAGCGGTGGTATCGTCCCGGCTCTGCTCCCTGCGGTGCCTCGTGCAGAGCAGAGGAACAACCGAATATTGGAGACCTGTTTGCTGTCCTGCTTGCTAGTCTTCTCCTCTTGTAACTCGAGTCCATGCATCAACTTAATCTCATTTATCACCGTATGTCTTCAATGTCGAATAGTTCGCTCTCCTTGGGTGTACGATCACTAATTTGATCATGTTTGTGGAGTCAAGTCTTATTTTTATTTTCACCATCTCATATTCAGATTTCGAGATGCATTGAATCAATGGATGCAAAGATTAAGAGAAGACTTCACCAATGCATGTAAAATTTTGGTCATTTTAGGCTGGTCATAGTGGGAGTAACATAGATAGTAACATAGATGCCACATAAGCAAAAATAATGATGTGGCAAGTAGTTAATGAGGAGAGAGGCAAATAGAGTAACATAATATGTTACCATCACATAGCGGTTTCCAATGCATAATGAGTCTACAAAGTAATAAATGAAGGCAACTATGTTACCACACCTATGACACTACCCACTATGAAGGTAGTAACATAAACTAGTAACATATGTATGTTACTAGTCTAAGTTACTCCCCACTATGACCAGCCTTATTTATCACGCATGCATGCATAGAAGTAAATGCATTAGTAAACACAATTCTTTGAGAAAAATAAGTGCATTAATTGACTACTTTTGTAAACTACAAATATTATTTCAGCATTGATCATCTATCTTGGTTTGAAAGATTTTTGAATTGAGGCCTTCAAAGTGGAAGGGAGAGAGTAAAAGATAGGTACGCCGAAAGTCCCCAACTCCTCCCGAGCACAAACGAGCTTGCAATGAGCAATAAATTCAAAAGAAGAAAAAAGAAAAAACAGTTCTGAATTTTTGATAAATTTTGAAAAATCGAGTGCTTGCACAATTTCATCATGGAGTGACATTCCTGGAAGTCGCTGCAAAAACAAAATCAGCACTTCAAAATGCTTTAGAAAATGACATTTTTGGAGCATCGATATTTTTCTCCACGACTTTCACGAATGTAATTTCACGATCAAACTTCGTAAACACTCAGAACATGTGTCAGTACTAGGCACAAAACAAATTCAGAAAATTTTGAATTTAATTTTATTTTATTTACTGTTCAGTCGCGCTCATTTGAGCTCGATCTAACAATAGAATTTTGGTGTTCCTTGTTTCACTTCATGCTCTCTCTTTAGAGCATTCGATGTTGTGCATCAAAACAGATGCACCACATGTCTGCTAAGACTAGCCACAATGAGAGTAACTTTAGCAGTAACATCGAGTACAACTCAGCAAATTTGCTTATGTGACAATGAGTTAATGAGGAGAAAGGTAATTTGAGTAACTTAGCTAGTTACTGTAACATCACATGTCCCAATGCAATATGAGTCTATAACCTAATAAATGAAGCTTTGCATGTTACCACACTTATGTTACTACCCACTATGAAGGTATGTTACTAATGTATGTTACTCTCCACTGTGGTTAGTCTAACATGTTCGGCCGTGTCCACAAACAGCTAGGGGCGGCCATCAAACCCAATGCATCAAACGTTCATCTCTGGGTTTTTTTATATATCTGAAGCACTTAAAATAATTAAACATAAACACCATAATCATGATGTGCACATTTTTAAAATGCAACCAATAATTCAAATATAGATATTACAATCAAACATAAAGTTTTACAATAAAGTATATCATATTTGAATTCAAATTAGTCAGACACATTTTTTATTTGCCCCTTGAAGCGTCCACAAATGCTCAATCAGATCATTCTGAACGTGCACATGAGTTCCTCGATGGCGAATTTGTTGATGCATTTGAATAAAATTCTCAAATATCATCGTATTCTGCTTTGGAAGTTGGATATGATCACCCATGTGCTCAAATGCCAGATTATGGCGAACTCCGTCACCCTCATCCTCCACAATCTTGCTGCGCATGATCACACATGTTGTCATCACCTACCACACCATCTCTGCAGTCATAGATTTGTAGGTCCTCAAATAACTGCAAAACGAGCTTGAAGTACTCTAAATGTCCCCTCTCGAGATCTTTTTTTAACTCCTTGTCTCTGGGCAAAGTGAGATCTTTTCTCACACCTTTGCTCAGAGATGGTCTTGACGAAGATCGCCCACTAAGGATAGATACCAACAGAAAGATAATTGCTCATTTATAGTCATGATCATTGATGGTATAGTTGCACATAGGAGCTTCTCCCGCACACAGCCTTGCGAACAATGGAGGCCGCTACAACACTTTGATGTCACTTTGAGAAACTTAGGCATCCCCAAGAAAGAGTGTCAAATCCAAACGTGGTGGCCCAGATATTGCCCTTCTTAAGCATATCGACAATTCTTCCATGTGCAATGCATGCAATCCAGAGATCCAAGCATACCAGACCGCTCTCTTGGTTCTGACAATGCCATGAGCCTTGCGGTGTCTTCGGCAGTTGGTTCTCTCAAGTAGTCTGGTCCAAACACCTTGACCACCACAGTAGAAAACCTGACCATGGCTTCGAGACATGTGCTTTCATACAACCGGAGATACTCGTCCCACGAATATGTGATCGTGTCGTAGGCAAGCATACATGCAACCATGCACTTCTGGTAACGAAAGAACCCAATGGTTCCAATGGCATCCTTCTTCAAGATGAAGTAGTCATCATAGACTAGAAGACCATTATAGAGACGGTCGAGCACAGTTCAACACATCCTTAATAGACGACAGAAGAAGGTCTTGAATAGCGCATCAGGGACAAAGTAGTCGTCCATCAACATCATATGCTCTCGTATCCTGTGTTGATCCAACACTCGTTGTCCCTTCATTGATCCCTTGAAATTGAGAGCATGCTGCTTCGGGAACAAAGTAGTCATCCATCAACATCAATAAACTCAGCGTACAAATACAAATCATCCAAATCCATCATACTTACTTTGAAGTAAACAACAAAAACATCAATAAATTGGCTATGCTATATGGCCGAACACTTTTCTGGCATGGTGCCCGCCATGGATGACAATGTGTAGAGGCAGAGGGTACCTAGGCGGCTGCCGGAGTAGCGGTGGAAGGCATGTAGGCAAAGTGGGCCTGGCGCCCTGGTGGATCCACGGATTTCAGGCAAGGCTTGGCCACCGGAGTGGGTGGTACAACGGCGGAGTTGGTCTCAGACTAGGTGGTTATAGAGCAGGGGGCAGACTGACAGAATCGGGGCTCCGGGCGGGGTTTTGGGATGGCCTGGGGTGTTGGAGGCTTATGTGGCGAAGTTTCGGATGCTCGCAAAACCTCCCCAATTTCACTTTCTGTTTGTGGGATTTCGGACTTTCGAGCCGTGCCGCGCTCTGTCCCGGGGTGCATCACGGCAACGTGTGCGGGCTACATAATGTGTAGACTAGCATTGAGGGAATGATTCAGTCAACAAGTTGAGCAAGAAGAAGCAAAACTTACAATCTCCTCCTCTGCCGCTTGAAATGGTCACATTGCCTCCAGCCGACCAACCGCGTCACAAAACTTGGTGACTGATACATCTGCAACGTATCTACTCTTTCTCACACTTTTCCTCTTGTTTTGGACTCTAATTTGCATGATTTGAATGAAACTAACACCGGACTGACGTTGTTTTCACCAGAAGTACCATGGTGTTGTTTTTGTGCAGAAATAGAAGTTCTCAGAATGGAACGAAACTCTGCGAGGATTTTTTATATAAATAATAAGAATTTCTGGAGCCAAGACCTGCAGGAGAGGGGCACCTGGGTGGGCACAACCCACCAGGGCACGCCCCCTCTCCTAGCGAGCCCAGGTGGGTTGTATCCACTTGGTGGCCCCGTAGACGGCCCCTCTGATACTATAAAATCACATATTTCCAAAAAAACTAGGGAGAAAGAATTATCGCGATCCACGAGATGGAGTTGCCGCCAAGTCCTGTTCTTCCTCGGGAGGGCAGATCTAGAGTCCATTTGGGGCTCCGGAGAGGGGGATCTTCGTTCTTCGTCATCACCAACCCATATCCATCGCCAATTCCATGATGCTCCCCACCGGGAGTGAGTAATTCCTTCGTAGGCTCGTTGGTCGGTGAGGAGTTGGATGAGATTCATCATGTAATCGAGTTAGTTTTGTTAGGGCCTGATCCCTAGTATCCACTATGTTCTTAGATTGATGTTGCTACGACTTTGCTATGCTTAATGCTTGTCACTTTGGGCCTGGGTGCCATGAACTCAGATCTAAATTATTTATGAATTCATCATTATATCCATGTTCTAGATCCGATCTTGCAAGTTATAGTCACCTACTACGGTTATGATCCGACAACCCTGGAGTGACAACAACTAGGCCCACTCTCGGTGATGACCGTAGTTTGAGGAGTTCATGTATTCACTATGTGTTAATGCTTTGTTCCAGTTCTCTATTAAAAGGATGCCTTAATATCCGCTAGTTTCCAATATGGACCCCGCTGCCACAGGAGGGTAGGACAAAAGATGCCATCCAAGTTCTTTTAATAAAGCATGTATGACTATTTACGGAATACATTCCTACATTATATCGATGAACTGGAGCTAGTGTCGTATCACCCTAGGTTATAACTATTACATGATGAATATCATCCAACAAGTCACCAATCCAATGCCTATGAATTTATCTTATATTGTTCTTGCTAAGTTACTACTACTGCTACTGCTATCGTTACTGCTACAATATCACTGCTATCATTGTTATTTTTACTATTGTTGCTGCTACTATCATTAAAACTATCATATTACTGTGCTGCTGATCACTTTGCTACAGATAATTAATCTCCAGGTGTGGTTGAATTGACAACTCAGCTGCTAATACCTTCAAATATTCTTTGGCTCCCCTTGTGTCGAATCTACAAATTTGGGTCGAATACTCTACCCTTAAAAACTGTTGCGATCCCCTATACTTGTGGGTTATCAAGACCTTTTTCTGGCGTCGTTGCCGGGAAGCATAGCTATATTTGTTTAGTCACTTGGGATTATTATCATATTATCACTATGAAGAATCTGAAGGATGCTAAGACTAAGATATTTCCCTCAAAGACGATGGGAGGTAAGGAGCTGCCATCCAGTTCTGCTTTAGATTCACCTTC